GCAATGTGTTTGCGCTGGCGCTGGTGGATTTAGATGGTTTGTTTTTCGTATTCCTTTGCATTTTCTGTTCACAAAGTGCAAAAGAGTATATTCGCGACGGACTTGTAGGTTTTCAATTTATTCTCGTTTATATTCTTTATATTCTTTTTGTTGCCCGTGCAAATCAAGTTCATTTTTAATCATCGATAACTTAGTCTAATTTTCAGAATAATTCTCCGAGAATTGACCTCCGGGTCATACCTATACGTACATATATAATTATTAGACGTGTAGGCTTCAGTATGTACACACTTTTGTATGCCAACCTTTAGACCAGAAATAATAATAAAAATCAGACTGTAAAAACTGAAGTTATTGAATTTACCACTGTGAGGTGCTAAGGGAAGGGCAAAAAAAAGTGCACAGTCTAGTGCCAGTGTATGTATGTATGTGTATTTCTGTGTGTGTATATATAGTAGAAAGCACGCCAAGGATTTCAGGGTATCTGCTAGTCGGGCAATACCGCTTTTAGCTCTCTTTTTTGTTTTTATTTTGTAAGCAAATACGTATATGCCGCAAAAGGCACGTACTTTTGGTGCAGTACTCATGGGCGTTGAACATGGGCGTACATGCCCCCTTTCGCGCTCCGCACACTCTTTGAGTAGCAGCAGCCCCCAACCAAAGTGGGTATTGTTGATACAGCTGTGCAATGGAGCAAACACGCGAAAGAAGTAATTGTGGGGGACAATCACACTCGGGAATCCATTGACAAGCTGATAAGATTTGTAACTATATGTATGTGTGTGTTTGTGCATTAGCCCTATCTCGGGCAGTACTTTACGCCAGCAAACAAAGATGAGTCATGGGTCGAGCGCTGCCAACAACAGCAACATGCGATGACATAATTTCTGGCCAACATAGTCGATAATTCATCAACCCCTAGCGAGGAGACAGGACACAACTGAAGGACAACTGGAGCTGGATGAGAGCCATAAACAGTTTCCGCCATGCCAAATAAAATTAACATACAAAGTGTCTGTAAATTCACAAAGCAGCTGAGTGTGTGAATGGGTGGCTGTGTGGGTGGGTTGTTCGTGACTGTGTGTGTGTGTCTGTGTGTGTGAATTTTAATGAATGCTAAGTTAATAAACAACGGCGCATGCGTCACTGGAGCCTTAGCCAATCCTTTTATTCCTCTTATTCATATAAAGGCCAGCTGCTGAACTGACCCAATGATAAACCTCATGATAAACCGCATTGCTAGCAATAGGGCCACATAAATAATAGATTTGACACAATGGCGCCATTTGGCGGGCATGTAAAAGATATCAATCGTCCAACTGTAATTGTGTACAACAATAATCGAATGTGTCGGCCACCTTACCTGGGATTGCCCGCCTATCTGTCTGCCAGACCATCAATCAAAACACACAGCTACGGCAACGACAACAACGGCAACAACAAGTGCAACAACTACAACAACAATATTGGCCTGTCCACGCCTGTTGTGACCTGGATACCTGCTTAATTGCGAGGGTGAGACCTTGTCCTGGAGCTCGCTGCACTGGATACGCCTGGTAGTACAGTGAAGGCTCGCCGAACGAACAGCCGTATAATTTTTGTGTAGCCAACACTTTTACATCATTTTAACACGAAAAGAACCATCAAAATCTTTTTGAAAAATATTTTACGAATATTCGACTTAAAACTGTTAAAAAGAAATCTTTAAGAAATTTTAAATTGGCCTCTCATTTTAAATGAAAATATTGGAATATACCTATAATTGTATGAATATTCGTACATTTCTTTCTCTTATTTTTTAAATATTTTTAGCTTTTCTTTTTAAAGGAAATATAAGAACACAAAAGCAGAACAAACTCAAAGCGTCCACCCATGCGAGTTTTCAGTGTACTTTCTTTCGAAGAACAATTTTTCTGGCATTGGCAGTAATTCATTTTGAAATTATTGTATTGCGTGATTTCGTTGTTGACTCAAATCGAATATGAAAATGGCAACAAACGCGGTTTGTTGTGGTCTACTTTTTTGTCTGTAACCCAGGGACTGTAATTTCAGAAATTAAAAGCAAACGTAATGGTAGATACAAGTTATACAAGTTGGTTTTTTTGCTCTTTTCTGGTCTTACTCCAAATCCGTTCAAATTGATCGAAACTGTATCGTTAGTTGTTGCTTTTTTATTCCTTTACTAAGAATTTTCAAATAATTTTGTGTATTTCGAATTATTTTGCATTTTTGATCAGAAAACCAGAGTATCTCACAGTCAGTTGATTTACGAACTATAGTCAAGTGTTACTTAATAGTTATCCGTCTTTCAATGGTTGATGCCCATGCTGCGTGGATAAGTTAAGACACACCCAATGCGGTGAGTTTCAATTGAGGTGAGTTTATCAGAAATAATTTAGTGCAGTTTCAAACCGAATTATATTCAAAACATTTTGCACTGACTGATTAAACTTATATCTGTAGTTATCAGATGTAATTTAAGTGCAAGGTTTTTGGAAATTTAAACACAAAGTGTAAAAATATAGTTGGAAAATAGTTACAAACCACTTTTATTTACCATCCGTTTGAAATGAGGGACATGGACCTGGGAAAGACGGATAATATACGGTGTACATGTGTATGTATACCTAGTATATACATGTGTCATGACTATAGCTCGGTGTTAAACCGACATATCTTTTTGAACTAGCAAGAGTCTGTAGCATAGATTGGTATTAAAATTTGACTGCAATTTGGTAAAATTTACCAAATTAAGATATGCCATAATTCATCCGTGCGAAAGCCAATAGCTATTTTGATTGAAGAGCTGACCTTTTTCTACCTGAGATATTCCAATTTTATTATTAACTTTAAATAACCTTAAATTGGCTAAAAAGTCTGTCATAGGAAATATATGTGTTTTCCGACTTATGAAAATTTATAGAGTATATTGGGATCTTAATACTTTATACAAACCTGGCGACCACAAACATGACCAAGAGCATTATAGAACACATTTGAGTTCTGATTGGCACTTACAAAAACAAAAACAAAATATGTATATATATTGGGATACAAAAAATCAAAGCCCTTACAAATCTAGACAAATTTGATCAAAATCGTATTCCAACATTATTTAGAAGAGATATTAAAATTATACTTTTAAAAAAACTAAATAACTATAATTCGGATAAGTACGACGTTTAAATGAGCCTTTTCGATTCGTACCCTTTTACGCACTTTTGCAGAATATTATGTGCACTAATTTAATTTTGCCAGGAAAGCCAGTTGCGAAGCCATGTAGCCATCAATTAAGCCACCTTCTATATTCGTTTGATTCTTTCTCTTGTTCCGGTAGTATAAATCATTAATCCTTTTGTGTAACAAGCCACCACCAGCTCCCACCCACCCTCTAACCATGCCCCACCTCCTACCCACTACTCACATGATTATTCTAAATATTTATTACCGATTCCCACATGTCTTGTAATTACAAACGGCGCATGTAAATGAGCCGAGTCGAGCGGAAAAGTAAACCCGCCAGCCGCAGGATTAACCCCTTTTCGCACATGTGTGGCAAGGATTTTATGCATCGCTACCACAATTGCTTGTTCAAGAACTAGGAGTGCGTGTGTGTGCTTGTGGGAGATGGGGATGCCTCATGAAAAAGTTACAAAGTGAATCCAATAAATATGCGTAGCACACTTTTAATTAAACGCACGCTCACACCCCCCACTTGGAATTTGTCGCCTAGGGAAATGGGCGGGCGGTGCACAAAAGGATGTTTCACACACGGCGTCGGAGTGAGGAGCATAGTCAGAGTGGGAGTATAGCGAAGGCCTTTTAAGGTTGCTCTTAATCAGAAGAAGTCCACGCACATCAAAGTAGATGACAGCGTGAATTTAGGCTCGTATTAAAAGTTATCCTTATAATGACTTGTTGCTCTACAGGATTACTTTACAATTCATGTTTCAGCAAGTAAGCATCTTATACATATTCAAATGCGTTCAATTTAAACAATAATTTAATTAAATTTTTAAAAATGTTTACTGTTTTATTTAGTTGACGTTGCGTTCTTTCAGCTCATGTTAAAAAACAAAACGCATCTTCTGTACGACAGAATTTCTTGTTGAACTGAACCAGCGCGACGACGACGACATTGCCAGTGGAACACCTTTAGACATTCAGGTAGTTGTCTGGGAATTCGAAGGTAACATCGCGACCGGTAAGCTTCTTGTAGACCGATGTGAAGGTATCAACCTGAGGAGCACAAAATATAGAAATTAGTAACAATATTCTCTAGAGTAAAATATATATAATAAAATAAAAAACATTTGTCAGACGTTTCAACTTTTTGTTGCAACATGAATAGCTGCAGCAAAAGTGGGCTGAACAAGTCCGATTTATTTGCCGCCGATATAGGAAGTCCCGAGGCACCAGGCACAAAACGGTGCTCGGGAGGCAAATAGGCGGGAGCTTAAAACTGAGATTGGTATGCATGTGGCCGGCGGATAGTTATGTAGAAGCCTTGGTATCGATAGGCTCTACAACGTGGAGTAAGCTGGCTTGTTATTCACTTTGCGTTCTGTTTGACATCCTCTGATTAGAGGGATAAATTCAGGGAATAACACAAGAACGGTGCGTATATCGATATGGCTTGCATTTTAATGTGCATGTGAACAGTGGGTAGTTATGTAGAAGCCTTGGAATTGATAGGCTCTGCAACGTGGAGTAAACTGTTCTGGGGTTTAATATACGTTCTGTTTGACAATCGCTGAACGAGAATACAAATTCAGCGAATAACACAAGAACGGTGGGTATTATCGGAAAAATAGTTTTAAGAGGGGTCTTAAATAACTTAAGAATAGATGTGGCGAGTGGGTAGTTATGTAGAAGCCGAGGCATTCAAAGGCTCTACAATGTGGAGTAAACTGGCCTGGAGTTCGCTTTGCGTTCTGTTCGACAATCGCTGAACGAGAATAAAAATTCAGCGAATAACACAAGAACGGTAGTTTTAACAAAAATATAGCCAATATATGGAGATGTGGGCCCGCAAGGATGCGTAAATGGCGCACAATAACGAGTTATTGGCAAATTGCTATGCGTCCCCTTTGACAATCACGGCGCTTTGTGAACGTGCCGCAAATAACACGGGGACAGTGCAAAACTTAAATTAGATCCTATCCTAATCCTATGTCGCAGCAGCAGCTGGCGGCACTCACTTTGTGTTCGATGGTGGTCTGCTGGTTCTTGTCCAAGTGCACCTTTACCAGCTGAGAACCGTCGAGCTTGACGCGGACACGCTTGCCAACGATCTCGGCGGGGAAGACCAGATCCTCCAGAATGGCATCGTACACAGCCGTCAGGGTGCGCGAGCGTGGGCGCTTCTGTTTCAGCGGGTTGCGCGCCTTGCGCGTTGGCTTGGGCAGAATCTTGCGCTCGCCAATGACCACAACGTGCTTGCCAGAGAACTTCTTCTCCAGCTCGCGCACCAAAATGATCTGGATTTTCTGGAACACCTTCTGCTGTGGAATGGGCACGTAGATGATGACGGCCTGCGCACACAAAGACAAGGATTAGAACTGGCAACTGAGGGCTAAAACTATAGCTACGACTTACCTTCTTGCTGCCAAACTCAATCTCGCGTGCACGGGTTATGTGCAAATCGCGCAGGTAGGGCTTAAGGTCGCTGTTGGCCTCTAGCTCAACGAGCGCCTGGGCAATCGACTTCTCGAACTCATCGGGGTCCGCACCGCCGGGCTTGATAATTTTTGAGCCGATAGCCATCTGCAAATGATTGATAGCACGTTCAAAAAATGTGGCAGAGCTGCGAGAAAAACAATACACAACAACGCCGCCAAGCCAACTTTTCTCTCAACTCAGTCGTCTTTAACCTTTTTTGTAATCATTGAGCATCGACTTCGTTTCAATGGTTTTCACTTGGCAATTTGTACCACAATAATTGGCAGCATTTTGTTAACTCTGTTTGCCATTTATTTTTGGCTTTGCGTTGCATGTTGCACCGGTTTTTTAGCTTTTTCAAAGCGTTCATAGAAAATGTACACCAACCTTTGTCGACTATTTTGACAGGAAAGGAAGTCAACGATGTGACATTGAACTGTGCAAAACGTCATCGGCATGCAGGGTTGCTTTTCACGTGAAGTTGGCGGCAACTGCTCGTGTTGTACGCTTGCCGTTAGATGGCGCTAACGCACAGCTGAATGGGACAAATTTAAAATTTAAATTAAATTTGAAAAATGTTTAAACAGAAAAGTAAAAGTCTTATATGGTAATATTGAATTTAGACTAAAAAGGAGGGTTGTTAAAAAATAGCAATGCAACTAAATGTTGGTATTAAATAGTAAAATAATTGAAAAATTTATTTATTCTTGATTTTAATTGAATCACCTGTGCATACTTTTTTTCCTATTTTCTTGTTGGCTGTGGACAAACCAGCTGCAAATTGAATTTAAATGAAAATTTAATGTTATCACTATTTTGTAGCTGATGCTTTACTTAAGATAATTGCAGTTCTATTTACAATTTGTGGCCTATAAAAAAGTCCACAGACAATTCACGCTGTGCAGTGTCTGTGAGATGTTTGGGTACTAAATGAGGGAAAAACGGGGATATTAACTATCCAGCCAAATAATAACAGCTTTATTTGCATTCGAAGCACGAATAATAATGGACTCTTACATCATCTACAGCAAAATCATTGACTCAAGTCGAAGAACCCGGAATCTAAGGAACATTCTCAACCAGAACTCTAAATGAAATCGTACATGGTACTCTTCGTGTTTTGTCTCATCCTGCACATCAGCATGGGTTCTAAAGAAGTCGGTTTGTTTAAGAGGCATTTTACTGCTCTTTATGAAAAAGCGAAGCAACATACTGGGACTGGAATTAAGAATGTTAAGAAGGGGGCTAGAAAGGTTTCTAATGTTATGAGAATCACATAATACAAAGCAAAATCCAACTTGCAGTCTTACATATTAATTTTCAAGTCTTAAAGTCTTGCTTGGAATTTATGTCTTATTTAGACAATTATCAAAAAGACTTCTTTCGATGGACTTAATTGGAAAATACAAGGTGAATAGAGTATTGCGTAGTCGATTGCAGCCGACAAAAACTTGCTTAATTGTTTGCAAATTAAAAATGCTATGTAATAAACTAAACAGAAATATATAAAAGACTACATTAAAGTATATTTTTATAGGTATAAAAGTTAGATTTCTATTATTTTTGTTGCCTTATCATTAATTACATTTAATTGTTATTAATAAATAAATAAAACCGCATGCTTCAATGGGTTAGCCCCTGGCCGTGGCGGCCACATTCGCAGCCTGTTGGGCAATGCCCAATCCCTGGATGGTAGCATCCCGAGTGTGCTGGCCAACGCGTTCCTGTAAGGTTTATTCTCGTATAAGTAATTATTTATACAAACAATTTAATTGAAAGACTTACAAGTTTCTTGCCAATCTTCTTCAACCAACCAGCCTCGGATTGACCCAAACTGATGGTCAAGATGAGCGCAACGAAGATGAAGACCTTGTAGAAGTTCATATTGAGTTCTGGTATTGAATATTCCGTGGAATCTATGAGAATTTGAGCTGTTGCTGTGGTTCCAGATGCTGATAGACTGATGACTTATACGACCAGGCAGTGCCTCTTTTATAGCTCGTGCAATCCGAGCAGGCAACTCCCAGATGCTGATAAGCCTCGCAGCGCAAAAGCTCAGCAATTAATGGATGCGCGGGGGATTTTATTCGGCGAAAAAGAACACGGATCAAAAGCAAGTAAGGTGAGAGAGGTAAAGTAGGCAGTAAAAAATATAATCTATCATTTATTCATTAATCTCTATTTATTAAACTTTTTTTCCTGACAAACTGACTGACTGACAAACTGACCGACTGACTGACTTATTGGTGATCAACGTACAGCCCAAAGCGTAAGAATTAGGGGCTGAAATTTTCACTCTAGTTATCTTATGTGAAGAAGGTGCACGTTAAGACGGGGTTTCGGGAAATTTCACCCGCATGTGTGAAAAAATCGCGAAAAACCTTTGTTTTTTCTTTACTAACCGATCGGCCTCAAACTAAATTTCGAATGTCAGGAATTATTTGGTACGTTTTTGGGAGACAAATGCGGGTCAAAGGTTTTAAAAACTAAAAATTATTCTTCAGCTTCAAGATTCTCACCGCAATAATAACATGACTTAGATGCACTTAAAATATACTTTTAATAGAAGTAAGGATCAAGATGGGTAGATTTCAATTTTCCACGGGCGTGTACTTAGTGGAAAGGTAGTATCTAAAGTTTTTAGCACAAAACGTTCTACGGGCAAAGTCAGGCAAATTCGATAGTGACTGATGTAAAGAATGTTGTTAAGTATATGCAATTCTATAAAACTGTCAATTTGGAGTAATTTTTTTATTTTTTTGCAAGAAAAATAACAAGCTAAGCTAAGCTCTACTCGGGAGTGCCTGACTATAAGATACCCTGTGCTCGGCCCGAGCTTCCGTAACTAAGATTCAGAAATTAAAAAGAACTTCACATTTTTTGTGTATCTAGCTCTTTTCAGATATAATCAGAAAGCCTAGACTAGTTTTAAGAATATATATATTTTATGGAATTAAAAGAGATTTCTTTCGCCTGTTTCATACATTTACCCTTTCATATTCATTTTCATACCCTGAACCCATTGAAAATGGGTAAAAAGGGTATAATGTATTTGTATTTATATGTATGCAACAGGCAGAAGGAAGCGACTCCGACCCCATATATTCCTGATCAGCATCAATAGCCGAGTCGATTTAGCCATGTCCGTCTGTCTGTCCGTCCGTCTGACCGTATGTATAAACGCAAGGACATCAGAACCCATAAGAGCTAGAGACTTCAAATTAGCTGTAGGTCCTCCTAGTCCCTGCGCAGATCGGGTTTGTTTCCGATATTCGATAACTTGTCCCGTTTCCAAGTAATTGATAAAAATCGATATCGAAATCCTTTTTTTTTGGGCAATTTCGGTAAATAATATGAGCTAGGGTCACCTAACTTGTAGCTTCTAGAATAGTATATATATATCAAGTATCTTTCATTTTATACCTATCGCCGGTTGGAAGAAGAGGGTTTAGGGATCCCCTAGTCGGGAGCTCCTGACTATAACCTCTTACTTGTTAATTTTTGCAGAGTACAAAAATCCATTCTAAGCCCCGCCCAGATTTTAAACAACGCGCAACAAAGGTTTGCCATATAAGATGTAAAGCCAAAATGTTGGGTATTTCCGACATCTCTTAATTGGCCTGACAGATAGAATTGTCATATTAAATAGATTTGTCGGGTAACCACCAAACATGTTTGTCATGAAATAGACAACCAAGAAATTGCGTGAAATACAAATGTTTTTTACTACAAGTCAATTTACGAATGAAATGTTTCGCGGGTTTTTCTGCTTCAAAATGTGTGAATATGCCACTGACCCGATCGGGTTGATAATATGACAATTACGGATCGGTTTAGTAAGCAAACACCTAAAAAACGACCAGGTGTGGTTGTTATTCTTGTTATTAATGTTGTTGTTGTTGCTGTCGTTGTTGTTGTTTGTTTCTATTGCCATCGCATCTTATCAGCGTTTCTTCCCAGTTATCAGCTTGTTGCGTCAATTGGTCTACTCTGCTCTGGAGGTGCATGCTGTGAATCCCAGTGAATCGTTTTGCAGGCAGACTCTTCATAATAATGTGTTCATTAAAACTTATAAAAGAGAAAGAGAAAAAATGAAAATGATTTTGAAACTGATCGGACGGGAATCAAACATCTTTTATACAAATCGGACAAAACTTAAAATTCAACAAAAAAATCTTTGAAATGCATTTTCCACCGAAGGAGTTTTGATTTTTCGAAAAATATGAAACACGTCTCAAATGATTTTTCTTATAGATCTTTGGAAATAAATTTGAACACAAAAGGTCATCCACCATTTCCACCAAGGAGGAACGGATTTTCCTAAAAGTGTGAAACACCCCTCAAATTAATTTGAACAAAGATCTTTGAAAATAAGTTTTGAGGCCGATCGGATGGTAAACAAAAAAGTTACATACAAACGTTTTTGCGATTTTTGCACACTTGCGGGTGGAATTGCCCGAAATTCCGTCTTAACGTGCACCTACATCACATAAGGTAGCTACAGTGAAAATTTCAGTTTCCCAGCTCTTACGGTTTGGGCTGTGCGTTGATCACCAATCAGTCAGTCAGTCAGTCGGTCAGTCAGTCAGTCAGGACAAACAGTTTTATATATAGAGATTATATGTAAAATAAATATATATATATTTAAGTATAATAAGTAAATCAAGAAAGAAAATATTTTGTTCCACGAACAGTCTTTAATTAATAATGGCTTGGGATGAAACCAATAACGAATAAAAAAATATAATCAATCTCAATATTCAAAATTTGGGATTAAACCCAGTTCAAGAATCGAAGTTATCCAGGATAGAATATACTTTGGCTAATTTGGATACGATTTAAACATGAAATACGTGACATTTTATAACTAGTAAAGGAAAATATTGTGAACATTTTTATCTAGCTTTGAACCATTAACACAGTTCTAATGCAAGTTCATTTTTTGTAAAATAGCGGGAACTTATAGGTTACTATTCTACATTCATTAACTCAAGTAAATTATTTCATATTAAAAATAGTTGCTTTATTGATTATATACAAAAAAGAGAACATTTACTCGCTCGAGCCACTTTTGCGAAATATTGTGAATTTCAATGTAATTGCAACCAAATTTATCAAAGACAAAAAACCTAAATGTATGAATTTCTGTGATGCCAGATTTTAAAAATGAATTATTATTAATAATTCTTATTATTTATGGTAACAAAAAATACCCGTTTCTAATTACTTGCCAATAATAAACATATTTAAAAAACAACTAATTTTATTGAGAACGTGCTCAAAATTAACAAATAAAAATATTAAGCAAAAAAGTAAAAGCTTTCCGAAAAAATTGTCGATAAGCAATATAAAAACATTGAGGCTGGCTAGAAAAAGTAATGTTTAAGCGATTTTACCATTCATACTACTGTCTTTAGAATAAATACTTACAGTAGATGATAATAATAGATTTTCTATTTATTAATTTTGTGAGCTTTTTTTTGAGGAATTATTTTCGTAGCTACCTCCCCTATCCCCAAAAAAAATATAATTATGAATGCCATGAAACCAGGATTATAATAAAAATGTATATGTTTTGTGTTAAATACATTTAAAATTATATTTTTTACTTTAAAACACTACAACTATGTAAATAATTTTTTAATAAATAAATATGACTTGTCGATAAATTTAGCCTCTGGCCGTGGCGGCCACATTCGCAGCCTGTTGGGCAATGCCCAATCCCTGGATGGTGGCATCCCGAGTGTGCTGGCCAACGCGTTCCTGTAAGGGTTAATTTTTAATTGTAATTGTAATTGTTTGTACCAACAACTTAATTAAAAGACTTACAAGTTTCTTGCCAATCTTCTTCAACCAACCAGCCTCGGATTGACCCAAGCTGATGGCCAGGATGAGCGCAACGAAGATGAAGACCTTGTAGAAGTTCATATTGAGTTCTGGTATTGAATATTCCTTGGAATCTATGAGAATTTGAGCTGTTGCTGTGGTTGCAGATGCTGATAGACTGATGACTTATACGACCAGTCAGTACCTCTTTTATAGCTCATATAGCTCCCCGATGCTGATGAGCCCCGCAGCGCGAAAACTCAGCCATTGATGGATGCACGAGGGGATTTTGTTCGGCGAAAAAGTACACAGATCAAAGGCAAGTAAGGTGGGAGTCATTTAAAAAACTTTGTGACAATTTTTTTTAAATTGTGTAAACCTATAAAACTGTCGATTCTGAGTGAAACCCAAGAGATATGCCAAGCTCGGAGAGCCTCAGCGCCGAGCTGCCGTTTCCAACATCCAAAAATTACAAAAATCCAACTACATGGATAATTTTTTCAAGATATGGTAAGAAACCCAATACAAGATTGAAGAATATATATACTTTATGTAGTCTAAAAAGCTTTCTTCTGCCTTTTACTTAAGTTTGCATAAACCTATTATTTAAATATACTATATATATACCCTGTCATATCCAATTTGAATGGATGTAGACCATAAAAATCCATTCTAAGCCCCGCCCAGATTTTACACATCAAGCAACAAAGCTTCGCCAAATAAGAAGCAATGCCAAAATGTTGGGTATTTCCGACATCTCTTAATTAGCCCCACAGATAAAAATGTCATATGAAGTGGATTTGTCGGGTAACCACCAAACATGTTTGTCATGAAATAGACAACCAAGAAATTGTGTGAAATACAAATGTTTTTTACTACAAGTCAATTTATTAATGAAATCTTTCGCGAGTTTTTCTGCTTCCCGATTTCCGACTACAACTGTATTCAAAATGTGTGAATATGCCACTGACCCGATGGAGCTGATAATATGATCAGTTCAATGACGGACCAGGTGCTGTTGCTATTTTTGCTGTTAATGTTGTTTTTTTTTCCTCTGTTGCCATAACGCATTATCAGCGCTTCTTCACAGTTATCAGCTTGTTGCGTCGATTGCTCTACTCTGCTCTGGAGGTGCATGCTGTGAATCCCAGTGGATCGATTTGCGGGCAGACTCTTCAGCTGCACCAGCGCTTAAAACTGAAGTCAAGAGGGATTTTGCCAATTGAGTTGATGCCTGCGATTACAATCAATAGTGTGTTCATAACTTTGCATAATTATCATACCAACAGCAGGTTTTGGGTATGCAAATCCTTGCCCTTTTAACCGCGTTGCTATCCAAATGAACACACCACTGAAGTTGCTAATCTGGAATGCGACTGGCATTTCAGGTTAAGTACTAGCGTTGGAGGCCCTAGTACAAAAACACGCAATCGGAATATTTCTGCTGTCAGAAAATAGAACCAGCGGTCCTACTTTCCCCAGAATCTCTGACTTCGAGGCATACCCTGTACACTGGACTCAAAATCGCTCAGCTAGTGGCGGCTGCGCTGTCCCCGTCCGGAGTAACTTGGTTCACTTCCCGCAATTGAGCATTGCTAGTCGTGTTCACCAATATTCGACTGTGAAAGACTCTACTGAGGCTGGTAACGTGGGCTTCACCCATGAGACGTGGACGCCAACCCTGTAGAACCGTTTATCTTCTTCGCCACAATGGTACATACTGCCTTACAGACGAAGGGCAAGCTGACACCTTCGTCAGGCAACTGAAGGAACGGTTTTCACCATTCGATTTGGCCTCCCCAGAAGAGCTCGAGCGTTGGAGAATCCGCTTCAGATGTCACCACCTATCGGGCCCATCCGCATGGAGGAGGTAATCAACGTCGTCAAAGTCCTTCCTGGGACTAAAGCTCCGGGCTATGATGGAATATGCCATATGGAGACGCCCCAGAGTCTCTCCTCGATAAAGCCTGAGGACCCAAACAGGCTTGGTGAAAAATCACCTAAGCCAACTGTGTTGTAACAAAAATGTATGCTGTTTTTGATCCAATACAATAAACATTTATAAAAAAATAATTATGATAAAACTTATAAGAGAGAAGAGTAAGTTCTGCTATCATAAACAAATAATATCAAATATTTGTAGTTATATGTATAAGATATAAATGTATAAATATATACCAATAAGGAATATTATCATCTCGAAATTCGAACTAATACTTGGCGTTCTCTGACGTAGCTAGTCGTGGGATCGATTTATACTCGAAAATTCTACATCAACTTCTTTAAAACCAACATTAAGCCCACTTTCAGTTGAAATTAATTCCACACTGCCTGCTTAAATTAAGCTCATTACTCATAAAACGGGCTAACATTAAGTAATCCAGGATAGAAAATAAAATCTTATAAAATGTTTTTTACTTAGCTTAAGAAAATTCAGACTTAAAATAAATGCTTTTATCTGTCTTTGATCCATTAGCATAGTTATAATGCAGGTTCTTCGAAGTACGCAATGACATTTGTGAGAGAGAATATTCCATTAAATATTCCATTTAATGGCAGAGTCTAAAATTGACTTATTATTTATAATTATTTATTATTTACGGTTTCAAAAAATAACCCTGAATAATTACTTGGCAATAAATAATAAACATATTTTAGCAACAAAAAATTAAAAACTTGCAAAAAATAAATAAATAAATAATAAATCAATATCAATATCAATAATTCCGATAAGCAAAGGAAAAACTATGAGGCTGGCAAAATAATTATATATTATGAAATGTTTGCTTTCAGTTTTTGTTAATGCATATTATATGTATTAAAATATATATTATAATATGTCATAATGATGCATTTTCCTATAAAAAATATTAAAAGCTGTTTTTAGACGTTTTTCGTAGCTGCATCTCAAATGAAATAATAATCATAAATATAATTAAGGATGCCATGAAACCAAGAGATTTAAATGTTTTCTGTTAAATATATTTAAAATTATATTTTTTACTTTAAAACACTACCACTAAATAAATAATTTTGTAATAAATAAACATAATTGGTTCATAATCTTAGCCCCTGGCCGTGGCGGCCACATTCGCAGCCTGTTGGGCAATGCCCAATCCCTGGATGGTGGCGTCCCGAGTGTGCTGGCCAACGCGTTCCTGTAAGGTTAAATCTTCTATAAGTAATTGTTTATACCAACAATTTAATTGAAAGACTTACGAGTTTCTTGCCAATCTTCTTCAACCAACCAGCCTCGGATTGACCCAAGCTGATGGCCAGGATGAGCGCAACGAAGATGAAGACCTTGTATAAATTCATATTGAGTTCTGGTATTAAATATTCCTTGGAAAATAGAAGATCTTTAGATATTGCTGTGGTTGCAATTGCTGAGCGACTGATGAATGATACGACCAGTCACTGCCTCTTTTATAGTTCATATAGCTCCCCGATGCTGATAAGCCGTGCTGTGCAATACTCAGCAATTGATGGATGCATGAGGGGATTTTGTTCGGCGAAAAAGTACACGGATCAAAGGCAAGTAAGGTGAGAGTGGTAAAATATGCCGTAAAAAATATTTCTATGATCCATTTAAACGTAAATGACTGATATAAAGTATGTTCTTCTTATATATGTAATAAATTCTATAAAATCTATAAATTCTAAATAATTATTCAAGAAACAGTTACTCTAGCCGGGAGTGCCTGACTATTAGATACTCGGCTGTAAGATACCCGAGCTGCAGTTACCAAGATTAAACAATTTTGCGTATCTAACTCTTTTAAACTTCTAGACATGGTCAGAAAGTCCAAGGTAGATTGAAGCTATATATACTTTGTGGAGTCGAAAAAGCTTCCTTCAGCCTGTTACGTACATTTACACAAGCCCATTATACCCTTTCTTATCTATTTTCAATGGATTCACAGTATAAAAATTCTAATCCGCACAACAAAGCTTTGCCATATAAGATGCAAAGCCAAAATCTTGGGTATTTCCGCACTTTTTTAATTAGCCCCACAGATAAAATTGTCATATGAAGTGGATTTGTCGGGTAACCACCAAACATGTTTGTCATGAAATGGACACAACTAAAAAATTGGGTGAAGTACAAACGTTTCTTACTACAAATCAATTTATGAATGAAATTTCGCGTAGGTTTTTTTGCTTCCTGATTTCCGACTACAACTGTATTCAAAATGTGTGAATATGCCACTGACCCGATCGAGCTGATAATATGATCAATTCAATGACGGATCAGTTTAGTGAGCAAACACGTAAAAAACAACCAGGTGTGGTTGCTATTGTTGTGGTTAATGTTGTTGTTTTTGGTGTTGTTGTTTCTCTGTTGCCATAGCGCGTTATCAGCGTTTCTTCATAGTTATCAGCTTGTTGTGTCGATTGCTCTACTCTGCTCTGGAGGTGCATGCTGTGAATCCCAGTGGATCGATTTGCGGGCAGACTCAAAGAAAAATTCCCCGCGATATTCAGATACCAGCTAAGTAAATCTATACAATACATAAAAGGGATTCCGCTTAAAAGACAATAAAGCTCGCGGGAAGTATAATTGTATGCATGTTTATACACATGTCGCTTGGGTGCCCATATCGAGAGAGAGTCATAGTATATTTAATTGACCCTGAAGTTCTCCCTCTGTGCACCTCCGCGCTTGTAAGACCTGGCACAAAGAGACTTGTCATAGGCCCTTAAGCGTAACAGATAAACTTATAAAGAAGCTCTCATGTATATACATAAATCCACCTTCCATTACTATCTATACTGCAGTTTTTACTGTGCCAATCCGCATATCTTTATGATCTTAATTAACTCGTGTTGTGCGCTGTTTAATTAGACAGTCAACTCTTTGGGCAAACATTTGCACAGTATAATAATCTATAATATAATCTATAATTGCCGACTGCTATGTTAATATTCCCCAATAAATTGCATTTATTTAATTTTTATTCCCTTTTATGAGCTTGCAAATGATTCTGTGTTTACCCCAGCAGAGATTATATATGGTTTATATATTTATTATTATTATAAAGCTAACATTTATAACAGCAAAATTGATACATATTTTACATTTGAATATATTATGCTGTACTCTTATGATATTAACTGGTTTTAAAAGATGTTTGCATTTGAATACCCTCCTCTCAAATGCAAATAGATGACAGCAACAAAAAACCAGCTGCATTTATTGTCTTATTTACGCTTCTCTGGACGCTTAAAGTCCCTTACAGGAATATACCCCAGTATGCCAGTCTGTCTGAGTCTGTGGCTGAGTCGGAGTCGCAGCTAGATGGTCGGGGTCTGCGTGTTTGGGGCTGTTATGAGATGCCCGCAGTGCCTGGCTGGCTGCGCCTGTCACTCAGCGGTTAATTCAAGCGATTTTATTTACATTTTAGCAAAAGGCCGCCGCAGATCCGGAAAGTAGAGCAGCAGCAGATACTTTTTGGCAGACGGATGCAGCGGCAGGGTGGAGGTGGTTGGGGGCAGGGCTGCGTTGGCGGGGCAACACTTGGCAACTGTTGTGGCTCTTGGCTAAAGTCAAAACCCAGAAGCGTAAAGCGTTTTCACTTGTTAAGGAAATTAGTGGCATATCCTGACAATGGGCACATCCTGCTCCTGCTAGCCTTGTGCTCGGCGTTGCCTTCGTTGATTTAATTCATTTGTTGTCTTTGCTACGGGTCGCTTTTCGTTGCCTTCTTCCATAATTTGGTGGTTGATAGTGTGCCAGCTGCCACGCCCACTAATAGGTGGCAATGGACACGGGTACAGTTGTTTTCTCGATTCGCACTAGATTGCAATTAGCCCAGACCAAATATTATGCTTGCAAACAATTTCAAGCTGGGCAAATGAAACGAGTATCGGAATTGCCGCAGCTTGGTAAACAAATTAATTGTTTTAAATTTTAATCAATAGTTATTTGATAATCGGGATGGTGCTAGCTACAGTCTTAGCCTATTAATTTCCAATTTCAATAAGACAATCTTTTTTGTAGCCCTCATCCTGGCCATCAGCTTGGGCCATAGCGAGGCTGTTTGGTTGAAGAAGATTGGCAATGACCTTTGCTTCCCCCAGTGAGGCGTTGGCCAGAATCTGCGTGGTGCTACCAGCCAGACTCAGAGTCTGGTACAACTGGAAGCTAATGTGGCTGCGACGTCTGCAACTCCTCTGGCTATAGACAGTGTTAAGTTAAAATAAGTTTGAACATCATACCATACTGTCTCATATCCAATCCGCAACTTGACTTTGTCTGAAAATGAACTCTCAAAATCCAAACTTGTGTAAACAAAATTCCAATAACCTGCCTATTCCTTGCGTTTATTCTGCAAACCCTGCTAGCGGGAAGCACAAATTGTCTGTTCAAAAAGAAAATCCCCGAGCCCCAACGATCTGTTTTGTCTTTGCGGTGCGAGACTTATCAGCGCCGGAGAGCTATATGAGCTATAAAAGAGGCACTGACTGGGCGTATCAGTCATCAGTCGCTCAGCATCTGCAACCACAGCAACAGCCAAAGCCCAGCCCCTAGTTTCCAAAAAATATTCAATACCAGAACTCAATATGAACTTTTACAAGGTCTTCATCTTCGTTGCGCTCATTCTGGCCATCAGCTTTGGTCAATCCGAGGCTGGTTGGTTGAAGAAGATTGGGAAGAAAATTGTAAGTCTATAAATCATATTTTTTAGTATAAACAAAAACTTATAAAGATTTACCTTTACAGGAACGCATTGGCCAGCACACTCGGGACGCCACCATCCAGGGATTGGGTATTGCCCAACAGGCTGCGAATGTGGCCGCCACGGCCAGAGGCTAAGATTATGGACAAATTATGATTATTTATTACAAAATTATTTATTTAGTTGTAGTGTTTTAAAGTAAAAAATATAACTTTAAATATATTTAACAGAAAACATTAAAATTTTGTTGGTTTCATTTTTTCTAGTTTCATGGCATCCATAATTATATTTACGATTATTATTTCATTTGGGATGCAGCTACGAAAAGAATGCCAAAAACAGCTTTTGATTTTTTTATGTAATAAAATGCAACATTATGACATATTATTATATAAATTTTGATACATATAATATGCATTAATAAAAAATAAAAGCAAACATTTCATAATATATAATTTTTTTTGCCAGCCTCGTAGTTTTTCCTTTGCTTATCGGAAAGTTTTTCGATGAGCTTTAAATTTATTAATTTATTATTTATTTATTTATTTTTTGCAAGTTTTTAATTTTTTGTTGCTAAAATATGTTTATTATTTATTGCCAAGTAATTAGTCAGGGTTATTTTTTGATACCGTAAATAATAAATAATTATAAATAATAACTCAATTTTATACTCTGGCAAAGAAGGTATTAAATGGAATATTCTCTCTCACAAATGTCATTGCGTACTTCGAAGAACCTGCATTATAACTATGCTAATGGATCAAAGACAGATAAAAGCATTTATTTTAAGTCTGAATTTTCTTAAGCTAAGTAAAAAACATTTTATAAGATTTTATTTTCTATCCTGGATTACTTAATGTTAGCCCGTTTTATGAGTAATGAGCTTAATTTAAGCAGGCATTGTGGAATTAATTTCAACTGAAAGTGGGCTTGATGTTGGTTTTAAAGAGGTTGATGTAGAATTTTGGAATATAAATCGATCCCACGACTAGCTACGTTAAAGAACGCCAAGCATTACTTCGATTCTTGAACTGGATTTAATGCCAAATTAAGAATTTGGAGATTGATTATATGTTTATATTCCATATTGGTATATATTTATGTATATATATATATCTTATAAATATAATTACACATATTTGATATTATTTGTTTATGATAGCAAAACTTTCTCTTTCTTTCTTGAAGTTGTAGGCGCTGCGTCAACTGAAGAGTCTGCCCGCAAATCGATCCAATGGGATTCACAGCATGCACCTCCAGAGCAGAGTAGAGCAATCTACGCAACAAGCTGATAACTGGGAAGAAACGCTGATAATGCGCGATGACAACAGAAACAAACAACAACAACATTAACAACAAAAATAGCAATAGCACCTGGTTGTTTTTTACGTGTTTGCTCATTAAACTGATCCGTCATTGAACTGATCATATTATCAGCTCGACCGTTGTAGTCGGAAATCGGGAGGCAGAAAAACCCACGTGAAATTTCATTCAGAAATTCACTTGTAGTAAAAAACATTTGTATTTAACCCAATTTTTTAGTTGTGTCCATTTCATGACAAACATGTTTGGTGGTTACCCGGCAAATCCATTTGATATGACATTTTTATCTGTGAGGCTCATTAAGAGATGTCGGAAATACCCAACATTTTGGCTTTGCATCTTATATGGCAAAGCTTTGTTGCGCGATGTTTAAAATCTGGGCGGGGCTTAGAATGGATTTTTATACTCTGCACAGATTAAAAATGGATATGAAAGGGTAAAATGGGGTTGTGCTAATGTATGAAACAGGTAGAAGAAATCTCTTTTAATTCCATAAAATATACATATTCCTGAAACTAGTCTAGGCTTTCTGATTATATCTGAAAAGAGCTAGATACACGAAATTATGAAGTTGTTTTTAATTTCTGAATCTTAGTTACGGAAGCTCGGGCCGAGTACAGGGTATCTTACAGTCAGGCACTCCCAACTAGAGCTTATCTCAGCTAGTTATTTTTCTTGCAAACAAAAACTGTTAGATAATTACTCCAAAATGACAGTTTTATAGAATTGCATATACTTAACAACATACCTTATATCAGTCACTAGCGGATTTGCCCGACATTGCCCAAAGAACGTTTTATGCTAAAAACTTTAGATATTGTTAGATACCCATCTTGATCTCCACTTCTATTAAAAGTATATTTTAAGTGCATCTAAATCATTTTATTATTGCGGTGAGAATCTTGAAGCTGAAGAATAAACTTTCGTTTATTAAACCTTTGACCCGTATTTGTCTCCCAAAAACGTACCAAATAAATTCTGACAAAGATCTTTGAAATTGAGTTTGAGGCCGATCGGATAGTAAAGAAACAACAAAAGTTTTTCGCAATTTTTCCACACATGCGGGTGGAATTGCCCGAAACCCTGACTTAACGTGCACCTTCTTCACATAAGATAACTAGAGTGAACATTTCAGCTTCCTAATTCTTGCGCTTTGGGCTGTGCGTTGATCACCAATAAGTCAGTCAGTCAGTTTGTCAGTCAGTCAGTCTGTCAGTCAGTTAGTCAGTCATACAGTCGGTCAGTTTGTCAGTCAGTCATTCAGTCAGGACAAACAGCTTAATATATAGAGATTAATGAATAAATGATAGATTATATTTTTTACTGCCTACTTTGCCTCTCTCACCTTACTTGCTTTTGATCCGTGTTCTTTTTCGCCGAATAAAATCCCCCGCGCATCCATTAATTGCTGAGCTTTTGCGCTGCGAGGCTTATCAGCATCTGGGAGTTGCCTGCTCGGATTGCACGAGCTATAAAAGAGGTACTGACTGGTCGTATAAGTCATCAGTCTATCAGCATCTGGAACCACAGCAACAGCTCAAGTTCTCATAGATTCCACGGAATATTCAATACCAGAACTCAATATGAACTTCTACAAGGTCTTCATCTTCGTTGCGCTCATCCTGGCCATCAGCTTGGGTCAATCCGAGGCTGGTTGGTTGAAGAAGATTGGCAAGAAACTCGTAAGTCTTTCAATTTAATTATTGGTATAAACAATTACTTACAAAAGATTAACCCTTACAGGAACGCGTTGGCCAGCACACTCGGGATGCCACCATCCAGGGATTGGGCATTGCCCAACAGGCTGCGAATGTGGCCGCCACGGCCAGAGGCTAAGATTATGGACAAATTACGTTTATTTATTACATAATTATTTATTTAGTGGTAGTGTTTTAAAGTAAAAAATATATTTTCAAAAATATTTAACAGAAAATATATACATTTTTATTATAATCCTGGTTTTATGGCTTTCATAATTATATTTTTTTGGGTATTAGGGATGTAGCTACAAAAATAGTTCCTCAAAAAAAGCTCACAAAATTAATAAATAGAAAATCTATTATTATGATCTACTATAACTATTTATTCTAAAGACAGTAGCACGAATGCATACATCGCTTAAGAATTACTTTATATGGCCAGCCCCAAGCTTTTACTTTATTGCTAAATATTTTTAGTTGTTAATTTTGAGTACGTTCTCAATATGTTTTTAAAATATGTTTATTATCGACAAGTAATTAGACACGGGTATTTTTTGTTACCATAAATAATTAATAATTATTAATAATAATTCATTTTTAAAATCTGGCATCACAGAAATTCATACATTTAGGTTTTTTGTCTTTGATAAATTTGGTTGCAATTTCATTGAAATTCAAAATAAATTCAAGTAAATGTTCTTTTTTTTCTATATAATCAATAAAGCAACTATTTTTAATATGAAATCATTTACTTGAGTTAATGAATGTAGAATAGTAACCTATAAGTTCCCGCTATTTTACAAAAAATGAACTTGCATTAGAACTATGTCAATGGTTCAAAGCTAGATAAAAGTGGTCATAATATTTTCCTTTACTAGTTAAGAAATTCACATGTTTTAATCGTATCCAAATTAGCCAAAGTATTTTTTATCCTGGATAACTTCAATTCTTGAACTGGATTTAATGCCAAATTTTAAATATTGAGATTGATTATATGTTTATATTCGTTATTGGTTTCATCCCAAGCCAATTTTGAGACTGTTCGTGGAGTAAAATATTTTCTTTCTTAATTTATATACTTAGTATATTTCTTATATATATAATCTGCACATATTTGACATTATTTGTTTATGAAAGCAGAACTTTCTCTTTCTCTCTTATAGGTTTTATTGAACACATTATTAATCATACTCGCAGATATCAGCTTAATTAGTAAAATCCCTCTTGACTCGAGTTTTAAGCGTTGGGGCAACTGAAGAGTCTGCCCGCAAATCGATCCACTGGGATTCACAGCATGCACCTCCAGAGCAGAGTAGAGCAATCTACGCAACAAGCTGATAACTGGGAAGAAACGCTGATAAAGCGCGATGACAACAGAAACAAACAACAACAACATTAACAACAAAAATAGCAACAGCACCTGGTTGTTTTTTACGTGTTTATTCATTAAACTGATCCGTCATTGAACTGATCATATTATCAGCTCGACCGGGTCGGTGGCATATTCACACATTTTGAAGCAGAAAAACCCGCGAAAGATTTCATTCATAAATTGATTTGTAGTAAAAAACATTTGTATTTCACACAATTTCGTGGTTGTCTATTTCATGACAAACATGTTTGGTGGTTACCCGACAAATCCACTGCATATGACAATCCTATTTGTGGGGCTAATTAAGAGTAGTGGGAAATACCCAACATTTTCGCTTTGCATCTTATATGGCAAACCTTTGTTGAGCGTTGTTTAAAATCTGGGCGGTGCTTAGAATGGATTTTTATACTCTGCAACCATTGAAAATGGGTATGAAAGGGTAAAATGGGGTTGTGCTAATGTATGAAACAGGCAGAAGAAATCTCTTTTATTTCCATTCTTTCTGATTATATATTATTTTATTTATTTTATTTTAGTAATGGTCGACAAAACGAGTGTCTTCCTAATTATTCAATACATTACACATACTTTATGAAAATTAAATGCTAAAAGCCTGATTAGAATACACAATTATCTAATAGCATCACCGACCGATGGAGGTGTTTGATTTGCCAGTCCGGCCAGCTGTGCCCCTTTTCACAGCCAATTTTTTCAGTAACGCTATTAGAGCCTATAGCTAAGTAGAAGGGTGTAAGTAGAGAAAATAGTGTTCTTAAGTAAAATTAAACAATGAATAGGGAAAAAGAAAAAAAGAAGTTATTGATAAATTAAAGAAATTTAAACTAGA